TATTGTTCTATTTTATTCATATTTATATAATGATAGTTATATATATATATATATATATATATATTAAGCTAAAAATATTAAAATAAAGTAACAAAATTATAAACTGTATTTTAATTTAGGATAAAATTAGTAAAATAATTAATATTTAATTTAAATTAACTATATTAAATAAAATATTTAGTTTTTAAATTAGCCGATATATATACACACACACACATACTTACTTACATATAAAATTACAATTTTAAGTGTAATTACTTATAAAAAAGTGTGTTTGATTTGGTTATGTTATTTTCTTTCAAAATAATAAATAAAAGGATGGTATTTTACTTTGAAATATTTATAGAAAAAACTAACAAATTATCTTGTAAAAAAATTAATTTTATAATTAACGGGAACAAGTCTTTATTAATTAAACTTTGAACAAGTTTTTAAAATCTAGCTCTAATTACAATAAAATTGTAGTGAAAAAATCAGCAAATAGAAACTAAGTTTGTACAATCTTAGACTTAATAACTCCTCATCCCAAATACATATTTCAGAACTCCAGGTTTAACAACTCTGCACCCCAAATGCATACTAGAACATGAAGATGAATCCTGCAAAATAGGAGTCAGCACTTCGAAGATTTTGTCAGTACAAGATTTAATAATGCAAAATCTCAATTAGAAATGTTTTGCGTACCTCTTTCTCATTCAATTTTAGTGCATTTATACGGAGGCTAGATAACCGTTGGCATCATGGATTCAAACCAACAGTTATCTTCGAGATTCTAGGTGTGAAATACGCATTGAGGTTAAGATGCGGTTGTACAGTTACATATTTAAACGTTAGAGTCAAGTTCAGAAACTTCTATTACGTAATTGGTTTAGTTGGTAGTTTGTCATTCGACTTTTCCCGAACTTACCTCATGGGATTGGTGTGCATGACTAACTGTCCACTTAATAATGACGTGCCCCTTGAATGGAATCCTACCTTCATCATTAAGGATCCTACATTGAAAAGATAAAAAACCTATCCAGAGTTTATAATATAAATGTGTTACTCCTCTTGTTGCCAAATGATTTTGAAGTAGAATTTCGTATTAGAAGTGTATAAATTAAATAATTTGAACGCATTGGTAAAAAATGTTGTACTAAATTAATTGTGATGTTCAACTTCTTNTTTTTTGTTGAACATGATCACTTAACTTTTTGTGCACATAATTGAAGAACAACTTCCAATTGACAATAACTTGTGATAAAAGCTTAACTCTCATATGCCAAACAAAATGAAAGAATCTCACATGGAAAGTACCTTTAGAGGACAAAAAAGATATAAGATGATTGCAAAATTTTAAAACCATGTGAGGAATCAATGCCAGTTGTGTGGTGTAAAATTGTGGAGAAAATTGATGAATTGTGACAGAGAGAATAGAGACCAAAAATTCTAATCAAGAGTGTCCCAGTAATACTACAAAATATTTGTGAAAGAAGAAATTCCTTATCAAATAGATAGACTTTTGACATTCATGAAAAGACGATAAGAATGTAGATATAGTTTGAAAGAGAGGCTCGATGAATATGTATAAGCGGATATAGGTTCATCTATACTGTTCAAAATTTCGAATAATATCAATGTTGGTGAAAATATTGAAGTCTCAATTTTATAGAAATATGAAATAAAGTATCGATAAAATGTCAATGTTGATTGATATTTATGAAAATTTTATAAAAATAAAAAAATCCATAACAAATATTTAAATTAACAATCAAGCATTTCATTCTTTTAACTTATTTAATATTAATATTAATACTATGATCATAAGTATTAGTGATATTTTGTTACTTTTTTAATAATACTATGTAAGTGTCGATTCACTYCTTATATCGATGTCGAATCAATGGACATATAAATATGAAAATGTTCAAAATGGTATTTTTTTTTTCTTTTTCTATGCTTGTTTACTATTTTTCAACACAAGTTTTAAAATTTAGGTTTTTTTCTTTTAAATTAAAATGGAGTAGTTTTCATTTTTCTTAAATTGACTCAAATTATAAAAAAAAAATTTAAATATATAAATAAAACAAAAAAGGTTAGTAAATAAGATTAATTTTTAAAAATAAAATCCGTTATTGAACAAATTGGAAACTAAGTTGATCGTTTTCAAAAGTTGAAAAGATCATAATAGTTATAAGATTTAAATCTCATTTTTCGTAAATTTGCCATATTTTGATCTTTAAGCTTTCAAACTTCTAAAAATAACAATATTGCGTCGTTGTAATTATTTTGTCATCAATTTCTAACTCATTCAATATACTTACTTCGTCACCTAACTTATATCACTTCAAAATTCACTATGCCTTAATGCACCTATTCAAAAACACATCGACGGTGTGTATAACATAGTTGATGTGATAAAATAATAATAAAAACTAAACTAATTTTTCTTCTAAGTTCAGGTATTAGAATTAATTATTTAAAAATTCTCCTAAGATAAGATTTAAGCCTTCTTATTATTATTTAAACACAAACAATTACTAATATATTTATCAAGGTTAATATTTCTTAGCCTTTTTTATTAGAAAAAAAGAAAGAAGAAATATTTCTAAGATTTCATCACCAATATGTTCATTTTTAAAAGGAGGATAAAGAGAAATGGATATCCCAACCAAGAGAAGATATGCCCAATTCTCATATCAACTTACATTTGCAAGTTGCAAGTTAAAGCTTAGCTTATGGAATTAGAATTTGTTCTCCTCCTATCCAAACACAATTCATCCACTTGAAATTCTTCTCCTTATATTCCTTATTAGAAAAATATGAAGCCTATTGTTTGAAAATTATTGCAATTTGGTCCTCACGATTTTAATAGTTTCAATTTAGTTCATACAGTTTGGGTTCAATTTCAATTTAGTCATTATGATTCTAAAAAAGGTTTCAATTTGGTCCCTATGACTACTTAGTCACTCCATAATTCGTCTTCATCATTACTCTATATTGACACTTTTTTATATGGTATGGGCTAATGTTGTCTATTCGACTAACTGTGATATTTAACTAAATTAGAGTTTAGGACTTAAAAGAATATAAGTGGATTTTTTTGAATGCATAAAATACAAGTTATAAACCATTTATGAAAATTTTAACTAAACGGATGAACTAAATTAAAATCGTGCTTAAACCATAAAGACTATATTTATAATTTAACCGTACAATAGAAAAAAGAGGGTACGGATACGGATACGTGACCACCCCAACCCCAATTAGGCTCAACTACCAAAAAAGAGAATATATTTATATATATATATATATACTGCTGGAATAAAAATTAAAAATTAAGATATATATACACACATATTCTTTCCATTAATTTCTTTAAACGACAAATTCTTCCCTATTACTTAAATGCTAACGTGATTGTATTGGTCCTTGTAACTCTTTGAATCATAAATGAAGACTAGACTAAATCGAAAACTAAATTTATTAAATTAATAGCTAACATGAATAGAACTGATAACAAATTATAAGCATTTACATGAACTGGAGTAGTACAATAATTTAACCAATATTTTTCACTAAGAAACCAAAATAGCACGTCTTTAACCATACACCCGACGGTTACAAAAATAGCGACCGCCTACATGTAGTTTCACAACTTCTCGCTAGCGTGTAATTATCGAATATATATTAAAGTAAAAAAGTAAAATTAAATAATTTAACCATAAATTTGAAAAAGGAAAAAGAGGGAGGGTACGGGGACATGTGCCCGCCCCAATTTAGCTCAACCACCCAAAAGAGAGAAGAAAGAAATACCAACACTTTCCTTCTATTATCCCTTTAGAATTTTGATTTTTATCCCGACAAATTATTCTTTGTTACTTAAATGCTAACGTGATATGTTGACCGGACTAAATCGATACATTTTAAATTAAATTTATTAAATTAATAGCCAACGGATAAAAAATCATGAATATTTACATTGGATTTGTAGTACAATAATTTAACCAATAATTTTCCACTAAGAAACAAAAAAACAACATATTTTTGTAACCATACACCTAACCATTACAAAAATAGTAACCACCTACATGTGTTTTATTAAAACATTGTTTTCATGTTTTTTGTCACGTCATTGTCGCCAGATTCTTAACCCAGATTCTTAACGAATTCTAAACGACTTCTCGCCGATTTATAGTTGTCGTGATACAAAATATTCGATAATTTCTCGTTTAAAGTCAAAAAGTAAATTAACTACAATAGATAAGTGAAAAAAAAGTATAAATATATGTTTTAGTTGTAAATGGTTGTGTCAGGTGTGTTTATTCAATTTAGTACTATTTGTTCAAAAAGTTTTAATCTAATTATTTATATTTTAACATTTTTCAATTTAGTTGGAGAATGTTATAATTTGTTAAGAATAAACTTACCTACGTTAATATTTCATATTTTTTTTGGTTCTTTTAATAAAGAAAAAATATAACAATTTGATAAATGTTTGTTTCTTGTTTTTTTTTACTGAAAAAAGAAATAATAATATATTTGGTAATCTTTTCTTATTCCTTGTTTTCTACACTATTAAACTAAAAAAGCAACAATTTTATATTAAAATTATTTTTAACTAATATTAAATATTTATTTATTTTTAAAATATTTATTATGTATTTTATAGGTAAAAACAAATAAAATAATACAAATTTGATTTTGTTATTCTAACGTCGGTAAAAAAAATGATGAATAAAAGTGTAACTTTATGTTTTTCAAAACCAAGAAATGAAAAACAAGACACGATGTCAAATGGGTCATAAATTTTTGCTAACAAATAAATATTTTTTTAGCACAAAAAAAACTAAATAAATAAATATTATGTAATATAAGTTTATCCACGGTGAATTGTTAATTCAAAGAAACGCAGGGAAAAAAAAAACTGTAAAAAGTCAACATTTTGACTCTCTCTAACGTCGTCTATACTGTTTCTCTCTCCTAGTCGCCGTCTCGAACTTATTTCCCTCTCTGCCTGACTCCTTCAAAAACCAGCTAAATTCCTTTTCCTTTTTCCTCTCCCATGGCGGACCTCAATTTATACCCCTTCAACATTCTCTGCTAAATTCCCACAACTTCCTTCTCGTTCATCATCATCATCTTCTTCTTCTTCCTCTCTCTCTGTACTTGATGGAGTCCGAGGCTGTTTTGAGGACGAAGCAGAGCAATGTCTTCCGATTGAAGTGCTCCGTCCAGAACTACGATTGGGGGATCAGAGGACCGGATTCTGCAGTCGCGAGGCTCTTTGCGTTGAACTCTGGCTCGATTGTCGATTCCGATAAGCCCTACGCGGAGTTTTGGATGGGGACTCACGATTCCGGACCTTCCTTTCTGATCGGCGCCGCTGAGAATGGCGGTGCGGTTGAGTCCGATTCCACTTCCCTCAAGTCTTGGGTTTCTGAAAACCCTAATTCCCTCGGCGAGAAGGTCGTCGAGAAATGGGGCTCCGACCTCCCCTTCCTGTTCAAGGTACGCTGCGGTACGAATTGATTTGCCGAAAACGCGTTTGTTAACCAAACGAATGGGTTTCGAATTTTCTCGTTTCGATTTCTGTTTTCGTTTGTTTTAGGTTCTCTCTGTGGCGAAAGCATTGTCGATACAGGCTCATCCGGACAAGGAATTGGCGAAGATACTCCATAAGTTGCAACCCAAAGCTTATAGAGACGCAAATCACAAGCCGGAAATGGCACTGGCGATTACGGAGTTCGAAGCTCTCTGTGGATTCATCAGTCTCGAGGTAAGAGTAGTTTACCCATTTTCCCTCTCATCGGGAACCTCGAATCTTCCAGATGATCTGGGAGATGCGTGGATGAGTATTAAAGTTCCATGGATTCGTTTGTTTTAAGATTTGCCACATTTCCTGGAGGCTTTCGATGATTATTTTATTGGGTTCCCCTTGATTTTGTAGTCTCCACTTTTATAAGTTTGTTTGAATTTTTTTAAGTTGAACTTGGAATTTTACCTGATTTCCTAATCTTGATCTTTACTTTTCTTTTGTTGTTTAATGAATACTATTCGTTGGGAACTGTGAAATATTATATTGTAAAGCTCTCTGTCGTCAGGCTTACGTTCAAATCCTCCGTTTACTTTTTTTTTTCTTTGACAAAACTTTCTTTGGACTTGTTAATCTTTGTCTGATATGACAAGTAGCCAAATATTTTATGTTTATTGGTCCAGTTGAATTCGTTCCTCGTGCTTTATTATTGGAATGTCGTTGTATATCCTTGATTTGTGGTTTAATGTATTGTGGTCCCTTTAGSAGCAACATAGCTTTTAACTTTTTATGACTTTTCAGAAGTCTCGAGTGAGGAAGGAAAACTGGGGAGACAAAATGTTGGAAGTTAATGTTTAGCATAATATGTTATAAATTTCCATATTATTTGCTAATTTTCTGGGATAGCTTGCAAGATTTAACGAGGGAATAGATGGATTTTGTGAAACAAATAGTTCTCCTTCTGAGTTTGAGAGAACTTTTTTGTCTCAGGTTTCTCAGCTGCTGTTTTTTTTTAAAGAATGTCCTTGGTTCTCTCTTCCCATGTTGAAAAGAAAATTTTGTTTCTCTTCATGTTTAGACTTTAGACGACTTCATCTTCTGTTTTCTTTACTTTCCAGGAGCTTAAGGATGTTCTTCGTTCTGTTCCTGAGACTGTGGAAATGATTGGCCATGAAGACACAAACAGAGTGCTGTTATTAGATGATGAAGATGAGGAAGAGGACCTGAAGTCTGTCCTGAGGTCAGCTTTCACTCAGTTAATGTCGGCTACCAAATCAATGATATCGGGCACGATATCCGACTTGAAGAGGCGGCTGCACTCTGAAAGTGAGGTAACTATGCAATGGTTTATTTGATTATTCAACAAGGGTGTACTGAAGAAGGAAGGTACCCCAGCTGATCTCAGTTTAACAAATTACAGAAAATGAAAGTTAAGCCTTTAAAGTTTTCTCTAATTTACCCCCTAAATTTTTTAAAATTAAATGATTATATATAATAAAGTTAGAAGGAGAAAGTCTTCCCCTCCCTGAAAAAAGAAAATTCTGATCCCCTGTTTTGAAGGAAGCTTTGTTAAAGTGATCCACAATTTTCACCTATAGAAATTTGAATGTAGAAATCAAAGTTTATCTCTGGCCATCACCCTTCATTATTCTATTACATAGATCAGGGCCGGGAATTCTTTGCAGCAATGAAGAATTTAATTATATTTGCAGCTTCTCTGTAGTATTGTTTTCTTTGAAAGAAGATAATAAATAACATCTATTTTGACCACAATGACTTTGTTTTATTTCTGCTACATGGAAAGCATGAATATGAGCCATGTCACTGTGAATGAAATTTCTAGTTTTTTATTAGATTTCATTCGAGATTGAATGTCATGTTTGAAGTACACTTTTTGATGGAGCTCTTACCCACTTGTTGAGTAGTGTCTATATTTGAAGCAAGATTTTAAAGGTCAATGTCAACGGAAATTTCGAGATCTCTATTTTAAGAAATTGTCGATGAAAATATGAATAAAACATTGATGTTGATGAAATTTAATACCTCGATTTGGAGTACACTTGCTCCCTGACTTTTGGAGTAAGATTTATGATCTGTGCTCATCTAGCTGCCCTGTTTTATTAATTTAATCTTTTCTTCAGGTGAGGCAGCTAACTGCTAAGGAACTCCTAGTATTACGTTTGGAGAAGCAATATCCTGATGATGTGGGCGTTATTGCAGCATTCTTCTTAAATTATGTGAAGCTGAATCCTGGAGAAGCTCTGTACCTCGGAGCAAACGAGCCACATGCATATATAAGTGGCGAGTGTATCGAGTGCATGGCAACGTCTGATAATGTCGTCCGGGCTGGCCTAACTCCCAAGTTTCGCGATGTCCAGACTCTCTGTGCTATGCTTACTTACAAACTGGTAAAACTTTTGTGCCCAATTACATCCATTTCTTTGTAAGTTTGATATCAAGTTCATGAAGCAACATGAAGTTCTTGGATGTTCATCCATCGATAAATCAAAAAAGTTTGCAAATGTGAAAGGGAGTCTAAAAGTTATGACATGTTTATGAGATTTGATCTGTGCAGGGCTTTCCTGAAATCCTCCAAGGAGTTCCTGTAAATCCATACATAACAAAGTACATTCCACCGTTCGATGAATTTGAGGTTGACTGTTGCGTTCTTCCTGAGGGAGCATCCGTCTTATTTCCAGCAAGCCCCGGTCCTTCGATATGCTTGGTTGCTCGGGGGGAGGGGATGATGCTGCCTCTAGAATCACTAGAGAGTGATGTAATCAGTGAAGGAGATGTCCTCTTTGTAGCTGCTAAAACTGAGATTAGTATAACGAGTGAAGTTGAGTTGCTCATTTTCAGAACGGGAGTAAACAGCAGGTTCTTTGATGCATTCATGAACGGTAAATAAAATATTCACTTTGATTCATGAATGGTAAATAAAATATTCACCTTGATTTTTTTTCCCTATATGGTATCCTATAAATATGTATTTTTCTTTTTTCCATTCGGTGTATTAGCTTGTACATAAGAAACTATGTTTTTTCTAACAGTAATAATAATAATATTATTATTATTTGAGTTGAACGTGCGGTAGGATTTGAACTTTCGATCTTTTGGTCGTAGATATATATGTTGAGCTATATTCAAAATTCTTTTAAGGTAAAATCTGTGTTTCCGTATTGTGTTGAATGGTTAGGATAACATCAATTTACACATAGCTCGATGGATATGCTACCACCTTTGTTGAACTAAGAAAAAATAATAATCACTAAGACAACTTTATGAAGTAATTTAAAAGTTTCTCGCTCAAATCTAATCGTAATAATAAACTATTAATTTTCATGGTAAACGAGACGATCACACTTAAAAAATACAATAAATACGGAGTGTGGGTGTTAAGGACTTGAAAAATCTATCAAATCAACTCGGGTCAGGTCGGTTCGGTTCGAATAAAAAGTGTACCCTACCTTGCCTACCTTGCCGTCTATCTCCCTCCCTTTCTTTCATCGATAAATTCTAACTTCCACTTTTATAGGAAGCCTGCTTTAACCATCTTCTAAATTCAAATTCACTAAGTATCATGTCATATAAATTTATTATACATCGATTTAAACATTTGTCAATATTGAGGATATAATTAAAAAAATGTTAATACATATAAAAGATTAAATTGAGACTTTTAAATATTAAGTATTAAATTAAAACATATTCAAATATTAGGACTAAAACAAATATTTCATAATATATGCATAACTATTAGTGTCCCATCTCAGTTTGTCTTCCACTAAAATGTTAAAACATTAAGGATTAAAAAGAAACTTTTTAAATATTAGAGATTAATGAAGGAGCTTAGAGATAATGTATTCAAACTATGGTGACTACCTACTAAAAGTTAATATCTTATGGTGACTACCTACTAAAAGTTAATATCTTACTAGTTATTTAAGCAATCAAATGTAGTAGGATTAGATAGTTGTAATGTGAGATTAGTCGAAGTACATAGAAGCTGCTCGAGACACTTACGAATATAAAAAACAAAAATTAGAGATTAAATTAAAAAAAAAGGACTAAAACATATATTTAATAAAGCTATGATCCTATATTGATAACTTCTGTAAACATAGAAGTTGTCCCGTCTCAATTTATCTCATATTAAAATAACTCTATTAAACACATTTAAACTCTGAGCTAAATTTAAAAAATAAAAATAACATTTTTTAGAATTACTTTTTTTTTTTCAAAATTTAGCTTAAATTTTGAAAATAGTTTTACAAAGCCTGCGCTAACAAGGAAATCCACGAATGAAAATAGTATGTTTACAAGTTTGGGTTGAATTGAACCAACCTGAATTTATTATTAATTTAAAACTATTTCTTTATAGTTATATTTATTTTAATTTAATGCATTCAATAATTCTTTATGAATTATTTATTTAAGGATTTTAATTTTTTTTTTCAAGTTAGAAATCTACTTTTACACCATATAAATAAAGATCGACTTATCGTGAATCTTAATTCAATGTTAGACAATATATAAATAATTGTTTAAGATATTATTATTTTCCTTTGAAAAAAAAAATATATATATATATATATATTATCTTTTTTTGTTATACAATTTTTCAAACTCAAATATTTTATGGTTGGTTTAGGGTTTATTACTTGTTTAATAAGTATTGTTTGAATGGAATAAATTTAAGGAAGTTGCACCTCTGACAAAAACATTTAGTAAAATTAGCAAAATAGTAATCACATTTATTTTTTTTTCAAATATAGTACTTTATACATATTTGATTACATCTCATATATATCTTATATAAGCGAAAATTTGTACTATATTCATATTCTGAAATAATTTTTACTGTTCACTCCAATTTCCCTAAATTAAACACAAACAATTGGATTGGGTCGGGTATATTAATTATTAAATAGAAAAAACCAACACGTATATTTTGTAAAATTATATAAGCATTAATTGAGTAATTTTTCATTTACATACGTGGTAGGGGTGTTCACGGGTTGGGTTGGGTCGGGTTAGAGGGCTTTTTGGGACCCACCCGAATTTTCGGGTTGACCATATGTACAACCCAACCCAACCCAAATTGATGGCCAACCCAACCTAACCCAACCCAAAAAATTCGGGTTGGGTCGGGTTGGGTTGTCGGGTTGTAGCTATTAATGAGTTTTTCTTGTATGCTTCTTTTTTTTCTTGAGACCATGAAAAAGGAGAGAGGGATAGAGAAGAAAAAGTTGTCCATGAGATTGGCTTGGATGTCAATTCTTCCTCCCTAGAAGAAAATGTTGTCAAGATGATGAGAGCAATCAGATCTGAAACTAAGAGGAGACACAAAAGAAGTAGACGCGAGAGAGGGCGAAAAAAGAAGAAAAAAAGGCAAAAAGAACCCAAGCAGAGGCGTCGGTCTAAAACTTACCCACTTAAAAAATGAGTGGCGGCAGCGGGGTGGCGAGGTGGCGGGACGACGGCGG